TTCCTAAATTTTCTTCTTTTTTTTTTTTTTTAAAGACTTACTTATTTTCATTGGAAAGTCAGATATACAGAGAGGAGAAGAGACAGAGAGGAAGATCTTTTGTCCAATGATTTACTCCCCATGCATCCTGAATGGCCAGAGCTGAGCTGATTCAAAGCCAGGAGCCAGGAGTTTCCTCCAGGTCTCCCACATGGGTGAAGGGTCCCAAAGCCTTGGGCTGTCCTTGACTGCTTTCCCAGGCCATAGGTGGGGAGCTGGATGGGAAGCCGGTGACTGGGACATGAGCCAGCATGTGGCCCTGATTTCTTCAGCATTCCTTACTTCTTGCCTCTGCCCTCTGCTTAAAGATCAGTGCTAGAGGAAAAGCTCATGACTCTTGGGCATAGTCACAAACTGTTGGCTCATCTTGCTGAAGTCTTGCAGCACATTCTCTTGGCATGAATCTTTTGGACAGAGCACCAGCAAGTGTAGCACAGCTTCACTGGGAACTATTCTTAGAATAGAATCAAGAGGTTTTTTTTTTTGTTTTGTTTTTTGTTTTTTTTTTAAGATTTGATGTAATTCAATGCTTTAGTCTAATTTATGAATTGTAAGGAAATGTAATTAGGTCTTGCTTTGTGAAGGAATTAGTATAAACTTTGGCAGTTGATTTCAGTGTTTTGAGACTGCATTCTGTTTTTAAATATTTTTGTGTTTTTCATTAAAATTTTTCTGTTTTTTATGAAGTTGAACACATTTCACACAGTAATTCTTCCCACCTTATCCTTCCTCCTGCATGTGTTTCCCATCCACCCTCTTCTTTCCTTTTTTTTTTCTTTTAAATTTTAAAATGGCTTATTTTTATTTCTCTTCCCATCATAGGCTTAATACTCCATTGGGTAAGGATTTCAAGAAATAATAAGTAGAAATAAAACCTTACTATTCCTCTAGAATATAGACACAGGTTGTAAAAAGTAATCAAATCTCAAGATGCTCCTCTTATAAACATTGTTTTGTATTCTGTTAGTTACCACAGATTGGGGGAAGCATATGATATTTCTTATTTGGGAGTTACTTATTTTGCTAAGCAGGAATGTTTCCATTTGCATCCGTTCTGTTACAAAAGGCAGGATTTCATTCTTTTTTATGGCTGAGTAGTATTCCATAATGTAAATATAACCACATTTTCTTTATCCATTTGTCTCATGCTGGATATCTTTGTTGATTCCATATCCTAGCTATTGTGAATTGAGCTGCTATGAACATGGTTGTACAGATATAATATCTGTCACATATGCTGGTTTTATTTCATTTGGATAAGTTTTTAGGAGTGAGATGATTGGGTCAGATGGAGGAGTCAATCTTTGATGAACCTCCAAATTATCCTTCATAATGACTATACTAGTCTGCAGTCCCACAGTGTCTTAGGAACTTTCCTTTCCTTCACTTTGTTGTTGTTGTTGTTGTTAAGATTTATTTATTGGAAAGTCAGAAACAGAGAGGAGAGACAGAGAGGAAAATCTTCCGTATAATGATTCACTCCCCAAGTGGCCACAATGGCCAGAGCTGAGCTGAGCTGAAGCCAGGAGCTTCTTCTAGGTCTCCCATGCAGGTGCAGGGTCCCAAAGCCTTGGGCCATTCTCAACTGCTTTCCCAGGCAGGGAGGTGGATGGGAAACAGGGCCACTGGGATGCAAACCAGTGTCCAAATGGGATCCTGGCACATGCAAGGAGAGGATTTCAGCTGCTAGGCTACCATGTCAGATCCTTCCTTTACATTCTTACCAGCATTTTTTGATTTTCTGTTGATAGCCTTTCTAACAGGGATGAGGTGGAACCTCATTGTGATTTATTTCCATATACCTGATGGATAGAAATCCTGGGCATTTTTTCATATGTGTAGTGGCCATTTGTATTTTATCCTTTGAAAATTGCCTGTTCCTGTCTTTACCCATTTCTTAACTGGATTATTTGTTTTCCTGTTGAGTTTCTTGAGCTTGTTGTAGATCTTGAGTATTAACACTCTATCAGTTGCATAAATTGCAAGTATTTTCCCCCATTATATGGTTGTCTCTTTTTGATGGTTTTCTTTGCAGGACCAAAGCTTCTCAGCTTAATGTAATCCTATTTATTTTGCTTTAATTGCCTGTGTTTCTGGCATCTTTTTCAAGAAGTCTATGCCTGTGTCTCTGTCTTGCAGGGTGTCACCAGTGTTTTCCTCTAGTAATCTGATAGTATCGGGTTGATTTAGGTCTCCCATCCATTTTGAGTTAATTTTTTATTAAGTTGTAAGGTAGGAATCTCAATTCATGATACTTTTGCATACATAGATCCAATTTTCCCTGAATCGTTTGTTGAAGAGATTATTCCTTCTCCCTGGATTGATTTCAGTTCCCTTGTCAAAAATTAGTTGGCTGTAGATGTGTGGGTTCATTTCCGGGATTTCTTTCTGTTCCATTGATCTTCATGTTTATTTTTGTGCCAGTACCAGGCTGTTTTGATTACAGCTACTCTGTAATATGTCTTGAAGACTGGTACAGTGAGGCATCCAACTATGTTTTGTTTTGTTTTTGTGAATGTTAGCTTTTTGGAGTTTTTGTGTTCCCTTTTCTATTTTTTTTAAAAAAATATTTATTTTTATTGGAAAGACAGATATACAGAGAAGAACAGAGAAAGAGAGAAAGATCTTCTGTCCAGTGGTTCACTCCCCAAGTGAGCACAGTGGTCAGTGCTGAGCCATTCCGAGGCCAGAGCCTCTTCTAGGTCTCCCACACGGGTGCAGGGTCCCAGAGCTTTGCACCGTCCCCAACTGCTTTCCCAGGCCACAAGCAGGGAGCTGGAAGGGAAGTGGAGGTGCTGGGATTAGAACCAGTTCCCATATGGGATCCTGGCATGTTCAAGGCGAGGATTTTAACTGATAACGCTATCACTGGGCCCCCCTTATCTATTTTAACAGCATTTTTTTCTGGACCTGAGGAGAATATGATAGATATTTTGATTAGGATCACATTGGATCTGTGTATTACTTTTAGTAATGTGGACATTTGGTATTTTTCCAATCCATGATCATGGAAGATTTACTTTATTTTGGTGTCTTCTCTTTACTTCTTTAATGTTTTGTAATTTTCTTCCTAGAGATCTCTTACCTTCTTGTTTAAATTTGCTCTACGATATTTCAACTCTATTGTGAATGGGACTGATCATATATATTCATTTTCAGGCATGGAATTGTTTGTACATATGAAGGCTGTTGATTTTATATCCTGTGACTTTACCAAACTCTTTTGTAAGTTCCAATGGTTTCTTAGATTTTTTTGTTCCCCTAGATAAATCATGTCATCTACGTACAGGGATAGCTTGACTTCCTGCGTTCCAACTTGAATCCTTTTGACTTCTTGCCTGATGGTTCTAGCTAAACCTTCCTGGACTGTACTGAAAAGCACTATTGTTTTTCTAATATTTGTAGAAATATGTCCTTGAGTATTCTGATCTTAGGCTTTATTGATTAATTAGAATTAAAATTTATTGAATGGGAGAGGGCAATTGAATAAATCATTACAGGAGAGCATGCTTTCAACTTCTGCTTCATTTCCCAAAGGCCCTCAGTGCCAAACCAAAGCCAGAAGTTGGAAACTCAGCCTGGATCTCCTTGTGGGTTAGTGGGGAGGCAAGTACTAGTGCCATCATCTACTGCCTCGCTGGATGTGCTTTAGCAGGAAGCCAAGTCAGGACATAGGATTTAGGCATTCCAAGTGACATCATGTTGTGCCAGATGACTGCTACTAGCTGTTGCTTTTAAAAATCATATGATGATAACAATTTTTGTTTTTGCCATGCGCGTTACCATGATCAGATATTGTTAGCAGTTCTGATAAGATACTTCAGTTTTTCCTGATTATTTCCAAGTAACTGTAACTATATTTGTATTTTTTCTCCTCTTCTATGACATTTGCAACTCTTCCTCACCCTTGGCCTTGGACTTTTTCATGACACTGATCATTCATACTATAGAATGTCTCACATTCTGGATTTGACTGATTGCTTCTTTGTAGTGATGTTGAACTTGACTTTTTATTCCTGTTTAACTTGTAGAACAAATGGCTTGCTTGAATTCAGGTTCAACCTTTCTTTTTCCCCTTCCATTTCCCTTTTCTTTCCCATTCCTCCTTTTCTACTTCATTTCTCCTCCATTCCCCTCTCTTCCTCCTTTGTTTCCTTCTCTCCTTTCTCTCCCCTCCCATCCTCCTCCATTTCTGTCCTAGTGTTTCCCTGTTTCCTGCTTTTTTTGGTGAGGATATAGTTACTGGTTGTCACTTTTTTCAGTGATTCTAAGAATGATGCGTGGAATCTCTTGGTATGCATTAATTTTTGATGGAGAATTGCCCATTAGAACCACTTTAACACTTGGTAAGATTCTTAAGAATTGTAAGAGAGTCTTATTTAGTGAATTTAATGGGAGTGTGGAGAAGCATTCATTAAACACACCCTAGACTCTTCTACAGTTACTCAGGTGTGGGAAGAGCCACTACTTTATCATATCATGATTAATATGTAATTAGTGACAGTTTACTTTCATGTAAATACTTTGAGAATGTATGTCTTGCATAAAATGAAGCATGCTTTAAATTAATAAGCAACTGTAAAGATTTGAGATTGCTTTATGTAATAGAAAAAATATTATCGTTGGCCTAGGGAAGAATAAAAGGTATCTCACAAAATTGTTTTAATGGTTAAATGAAATGATTTATTTTAAGGATGCAGTCCTGCACCTGGTGGTTAGTTGAGCCTAAATCCAAAGTTCATTAGAGCAATAAGTATTTAATTTTCAATGCAAGTCTTTACAATAAAGTTTGAGTTGACACAATAATCGAATAATGAAGTAATGCTGGAATAAGCTTTTATTTTTTCATTTTAGCTTGTTTTGGAGTAATATGAGACTCACTGCAATTTTAATACTAGTGGTCTTTGGAAAAAATTAGTGTATGGAAATCTTACTGATTTTTTTTTCTTCCCTACTTTCAGCTCCATTTACCTCTTAATTCTCCTTTGCCTGGAAGTGAATTGACCAAGGAACCTTTCCGTTGGGATCAGAGGCTGTTTGCATTAGTGTTGCGGTTGCCTGGCACTATGTCTGTAGAATCAGAACAGTTGACAGGTGTGCCTTTAGATGACTCTGCAATAACACCAATGTGTGAAGTGACAGGCGGTAAGTTTTATGCCAGCAAAAATTCAACTTAAAAGGCAGAGTTTATCTGTCTGTTAAAATGTACCTTTCAAAAATTGTCCTATTTGTTTTTGTTTAATAAATTATTTGGAATTAATATATGGCTTCAAAACTAATTAATGATGACTTATGGTTTTGCTTTATTAGGGCATATTTAATGGATGTGATAATGGTAATTTTTAACATATGTAGTTAGGAAATGGCTGGTATTTGAGTGAAGTTGTTAATTTTTCTGTCTACAAAGATTACCAATAATTTAGAAATGCTGTAGAATTATGTTTCTGTACAGAATTGAGAGAATCATTTCATTATTCATTTGATAGGATATGCCTGGTTAAGGGCAGTAGTCCCAAGGGGCAAGACATTAGATGGATTAGAGAAATCAGGTGGTCACTTTACTAAACGAATACTAGTGAAAATGTTCATATAGAACATGAGGTGAACACAGACCTTCTATAATGTGGGATGAACTAGCAAGTAGATTAATTTCCTGTAAGTTTACATTGTGTCCCTACTATGTGCAGTTTGTGCTTCCTTAGTCCATAATGCTGAAAACTGACATGCTTCAAAAAATAGGAAGCCTTTTGGATATTGTGCTTAAAATGTTTTATGTTTTGTAGCATGTTAGATTCAGGTTTTAGACTACAAATGTTCAATTGAAAATCCAAAAATTCCAAAATGTGAAATACTTCTGGTCCCAGTCAGTTTGGATAAGGAATGTTGAATCTGTCCTGAGTAAACCTATTATAGCTCAGTAATGGATCTGGCATGCATGGAGTTCTTTTCATGGAGTACTGTAGTTCTCACCTAAGTACTTTTAGTTCAGCCTAAAATGTTGAAGTCTAGCATTACCGCCCATTCACCTGTGGTGGAACAGGACCTCTAACGTGGACTCCAGCCACAGGTGGTGTTCAGAGGTGGAAGGGTGGTAATGCCAAACTGTGTAAATTAAGAGAAACTATAAATACCAATTAATATTTTAGGTACATTTTTTCAAAATCCCGTGGCTTTTGGAAATTGCAAAATTCACAAGCAGAAAGGGATTAGCTTTAGAGAGTTATAAATAGTAGAAGAAGTTAGAAAACTTACTCATTAAACGCTACCATTAAATCTGTGGGTTCTTATACTACTTTACAAAGTGGACATGTGTGTTTTTTGTTGTTTTGTTTTTGTTTTTTAGCAACAACCTGCCTATTCTATAATTTGAAAAGTTTGCTACTCTGAATTTTTTAGGTATATGAACAATATTTTGCCCTGGTTATCTTTATTTCTTTGGAAGGATACACATTTTTGTTTTGAACTTTTTAAAAAATTCTGAGTTTGTTTTTTAACTCTAATGATATTTTACCCGATGGATCATGAAGGGCTTTGACGCTGTAATTTAAACGTTCTCACATTGGAGATTTCTTATTATGAATCACTAAGTCTCAGTTTAGGATTATGATGAAGATGTGGGACTTTATATATGCATTATGACTTTTGTTTTCTAGAATCAGGAATATTTAGTGTGAAATGAAACAAATGGTATAATCATAGAGGATCTGAAAAGAATTTTGAGACATCATATAGTAATTGGTATCTTTGCCTTTGGGCAGTGGTATACTAAAGATATTTTGTTTATTCTTTGAAAGGAACATCTCCAAAGGAGAAGATTCTGAAGTCATCCTTGGTAATATCTTTCGATGCTCCAAAAATCTTAGTCAAAAAAGAGGAAGTTTTCTTTAAATATAGTTTGACTCCCTCCTGATATAATCATCCATTTGCCCTTTCCATGCTCTTCGCCAGTGATAATGGGAAGCTGCTCTAGTGCCACTCAAACATTTTCATGAATCTGAATAATATGTTTTCATTTTTAAAAATTTATAACAAAGAATGTTCAATAAGGAAATGTTGAAAATTAAACATCAGAAAAATAGAATAAACAAAACAACAAATATCTGCTGATATTGCAGCATCCAAATATGTAGCGATTACTAACAGTTCCTGTCCCTAGGGGGATGTGTGTGCCTGTACTTGTTTATTTCATCATCAGAAAAATTCATATTAATTAAAGAAAACATAAAAAGAAACTGGCCTATATTGTCATAGTGATATCTTGTCTTTACTTTTTATATATGTTTTTGAAAGATTGCACAAATAATTAAAGTTATTTTGGACATTTTGCTATCATGTTATTAATTAATGAATGCCCACTGTTTGCCAAATGAGTATTCTTGATGCTGAGATTACATCAAGAAATAAATATAACTTATGTCCTTGAACTGGATGACAGATAGCAATCATGTAAAATTAATAATTAACATTATTTTAAGGATTTCTATCTGTGATGGAGAAAAATAAGGTGTGATTAGTGATTAGAGAGTAACTTGAGGCAGAATTCTAGTGAGTTTTCTTTTTAAGGTTTAACACTTGAGCAGAGACCCAATAATAGAATTAGTTAACTGTAGGAAGATGTAGGCGGAAGGAATGGTAAAGGAACAAACAGGTTTTGTACACTGGGGTGATAGGGAAGTCAGTGTGGGGAGATTATGTAGCAAGGAGTAAAGTTGCATATAGAACTAGAGATGGGCAGGGGCCAAATACTGAATAGTATTTTGGACACATGTTCCATTTTCCATGTGTGTTGAGAAACCATTGGAGGGTTTTTTAAAATAGAGGGTGACGTTTGATTTTTATTGCTTAAGCATCACTTCGGTGTTAAATGAGAATTTCTGTAGATTGGGAGGGAAGTAGGGCAACTAATACTAGTAAAAAATGATACTTTGTGTTCTCGAGGGGAAATTAGTGATCTGGAGATGTGATTCAAAGGAGAACCAAAGATGAGGGCAATCAATGAAAGGAATTGAAGACATTTTTAGTAAATGATTCAGATGACCAAGAACACTGGAGACAAATAGCTGGGCCACGAGTTGAGACGAATTCACTCTGGAGAAACAGGGGTGAGGGGGAGTGCTCAGAGAACAGCAGGTGTAAAAGTGTCTAATAGACATTTTGCTTAAACTATCAACGATAAAATGCATTTTTATAAAGTAACAGACTTTTCTAGGTTATATAAATTTTCTCAACCTATTTAAGGACTGTTGCCTGGCTTAGAAATGTTCTGTTACCTTCTCCGTATTTATTGTGGTGCTAATGCTGCCTTCAGACCCAATATATTTAGTTTAATTTTTTTGTAGATTCTGTATACCTGAAAGTGAGCCAGCTTCTTGATATGAAAGTATTTGCTGTTTACTTTTTTCACAAACGTAATTAAAGTTTCTAGGAACTTTATGTTTCATAAAATACTTTGAGGGCTGAGTTTTACTATAGACAGAAAACACCCAAGAAGAAACAGGAGGATACAGAATCACATTGTAGAGATTACAAAGTATTGCTTATTTAACTTTTAAGATAATTAATGAAGTTTTACTATCTGCCGAATGACTTACACTTATTAATTTTTTGTTAATTTTCAGTAAATATCTTTGTTGTTAGTAATTTTCTCTCACTTTAAGATTATTAGTTTTACTTACACTTTCCTAACCAGCTTACTTGTGATATAACTTGGGAATAGAGAGAATAATTGCTGATCATATACTTAAATATTTTTTATTCACATTTTGGAAAAATACTTATATAACACAAGATGTTCAATCTTTTAAATCTCTAAGTAGTTTTGTGCATAAGGATGGTCAGCCTTTGTATGTTGTTTTATGGATATGCTTAAATTAAAAATCAAATTCAATTTAAAAATAAGCATGATTCCGTATTTTAAGTTTATTTGAAATTAATACCTATTTTCTGGAATACAAAATATATGTACCATAATGTTTCTAGTACCTGGTAAGGACTTAAATCTGACTACCACTGTACTAAATGGGTAAGTTAGTCAACTTTTTGTGCCTTGATTTTTTTGTTTTTAAAATGAGAGGAATGATCTATATGATTACTGTATTAAATTAATATGATAAAAGGATTGGAACACTGTGAGGCACGTAGATACTCAGTAATTGGTGTTTTTATGACTGTGATTGTCATTATTTTATTTACAGGTAAGTTTTTATATAATGAATACTTTTTGAAGTAATGCTTACTGTGAGAGTTTCAGTCACCACTGTCGAATGTTCTCTGAGTAGGCAGTACGAATCATGTTAAGTATAAGTTGGTACCAATAATTTGGTTGTGTCAGATATTCCATATTTAAAAGCTTCATAGTAACCATATTAAAAAGGAACAATTTAAGTTAATGTTTTGTTTAAATCAATATATCCAATATATTTCAACATCACATGTTTAAAAATTGCTAATGGTTTATTTCATATTTCTGCCTATGAAGTCTGTGCATCTTTGCACATGATTCAGGTTCTCAGTAAGCCAGTGTGGCTAATGTCTTCAATATCAGCAGGCAAAGTCTTGATCTTTTTGTTGAAAGTTCTTTTAAAAGAGCTTTTCTTCTGGTATCTTTTTTCTGCTAGCAGACCAGATAAATAACTTTAATACTCTTCTGTGTACTTAGTATGAATCTTCATGATTATACTTTTGTTAAGCAGGAGAAAGTAGTAGAGTATAATTCCTAGAAATTTGTATATGTTTGTTTGTGTATGTACATATGCACATACGTATGTTCTAAAGACAAATTACATTGGAAAATAGCTGGATTTAATGTTATGAGAGTTGTCATTTTCCCCGCTTTTTGTGTATTTAAATCAAGATTTCTTTATTCTGTATAACTATGATTAGAACAAAAATTGTACATGCTGTCACAAAACAGGATTCCTAATTGGTTGGAAATAACTATTTTTGTTCCCTTTATTCATAAGACAATTAAATAAGTCAAATCTTTACCATTGAATTTTTGTTAATTGGGTATATGCTGTCATAAACCTCACCACACCATGGTTCTTCTTTGCTTCAGGTGGGAATTCTTGCAACTAACTAGTTTTTTATTCGTTTTATTTCAGGTCGCTCATACTCTGTGTGTTCTCCACGAATGCTTAATCAGTGTCTAGAGTCCTTGGTGCAAAAAGTGCAAAGTGGGGTGGTAATCAACTTTGAAAAAGCAGGACCAGATCCTTCCCCTGTAGAAGGTATGACTGAACTTTTCTGACAGACATTCTAAATTTGATCTTGTGAGTGTTCAACTAGAACGAAAAAGTTACCACAATTTTAAGACTGACAAGGCCAAATTGCAAAGATGATAAATAAAGCTGTTGGTAAAAGCGAGTTGATCAAAGTGCAGGAGAACCAATGATGGTTTAGTAGCATCTCCTGTTTGTATTAAATGGTTATTCAACAATCTGAAGTTTTAGTAAGAGCCACAATGTTGATAAACGTTGATCAAAGCATGGTATTTACTCTTTCTCTGGCACTCTTTAACAATGAGGATGTGATAAAGCAAATTGGATGCTTGTCATTACTGGGGGTGTGTGGTCATTATTAATAAAGAGATACCACCAACTAGGTTTGATTCTTTCTGATTGGACAAGAAAAAAGTACTCCAGGAGCTCCTTTTAAAGTGATGTAAACTCTGTTGGAATTTACTGTTTAGTGAATTATAATCTAAATGCTGAGCAATAATAATATTTTGTTATTTAAGAAAAAAATTAAGGATAATATAAGAATTAATCAGTATCAGGATATCTTTATTAATAATAAATGTAATTTAATTTCTTTGTGGTTTTTTTTTTAACCAAATGATATTTACTTTGTTTTCATTGCTTTTGTAGATGGTCAGCCAGATATATCAAGACCTTTTGGATCTCAACCTTGGCATAGCTGTCACAAACTCATATATGTCAGACCAAATCCTAAAACTGGGGTTCCTATAGGTCATTGGCCTGTTCCAGAATCTTTTTGGCCAGATCAGAATTCTCCAACACTAGTAAGTACAAGAGAACAATAGCCCATTTTTTCATAAAAGGTGTAAATACCTTTGTTGAAGACAGGCTTTATTTATTGTGATGACAGATTTTTAAGGTGCTACGATAAACATAAACTGTGTTGTTCATTACAGAATAGCAAAAAACAACTTTTCTGTACAATCGAATAGTATGTGTTCTAATTTTTGCCATCTATGTATACAGAATCATAAATGTAGCAATATTTTGTTTTTTGAATGTAAACATGCATAGGATGAGAATTTATCTCTGGGAATAATTTAAAATTTAAATGAAAGCTTAGAAAATTACTCCTGTGGCTAGCAAATTTTACTGTGGTGGGCTGTGGTGGCATACTGCCACTTGTGATGCTGGCATCTCATATGGGCACCAGTTCAGTCAAAGATGCTCTACTTCCTCTCAAGCTTCCTGCTAATGCACCAGGGAAAGCAGCAGAAGATGGTCCAGATGTTTGCACCACGCTGCCCTCTGAGGAGACCCAAATGAAGTTCCAGGCTTCTGGCTTTGGCCTGGTCCACCCCTGCCTGTTTTGGCGTTTGGAGAGTGAACCAGTGCATCTCTTTCTGTCTGTCCCTCTCCCCGTCTCTCTCTCTAAATCTGCCTCTGAAATAAATGAATACATCTCTAAGAAAAATATTCTGTTAATTTGCAATCATTTAGTCCTTAGTTTTGTTGTTGTTTTTGTTTTAAGATTTATTGATTTTCAAGACACGGAGAGATCTTCTATTAATTGCTTTATTCCCTAAATGGCCACAAAGGCTTTAGGGTTGGTCTATGTTGAAGCCAAGAACCAGAAAATCCACCTAGGACCACATGTGGGTGGCGGTGGCCCAAGTATTTTTTCTGTCTTCCTCTGCTGTCCCAGGTGCATTCATGGGGAGTAGGGTTGAAAGTGGAGAGCCTGACTCATACTAGTAGTCATGGGAAGCAGGCAGCAGCTTAATGCATTGTGCCACAACTCTGGCTCCAGGCGTTGGTCTTGGAAATTCATGTTGGCTTGCACGGTTTTATTAATATTTGATGTTGTAGTCCTGAAGTCTAAGCAGAAAAAAAGATTTTCTGATCTAATTTATATGAGTTGTTTACTAGGAACAGTGATGATTGTTGAATAATCACAATTATTACTATTCATTATGTTATACTCTCACATTGATCACAATTACTATTCATTATATTATACTTTTACATTATTAGCTACAAATACTTGGTTAATACTAATTAGTTATTAGTGTTTAATGTAACCATGAATTAAACTGAACTCTTTTGGAAACCTTTTGTACTTTAAATCTGTATTAATTTTTCCATATAACTTAATAAAATGAAATCTGGAATCAGTATTAAAAGTCTTATCAGTATTGATCTGGTAGTCTTTGGCAAATTGTTCAAAGGCATAGATAATGAGTAAAATTTCTGTTAGAGCAGGAACTTGAGAAAAACATGCGGAAGTAGAAGCATATTTGTTTGGAGTAATGGTGAATATATGAATAAGGATAGCTTGTATATCCATGTGGGACATTGAGAGTATTGTTAAGCAGCCATATTGCTCATGATATTAAATGCAGGGTTGAAGAATGTTAGTTTTTTCCTAGTGAAATATATGAAACAATTTTAGGAAATTTAATTTGGTGTTAACATGCAGCAAGATTGGAAAGAGTTGGAAAGCAGCTCGGTTATCTAGAGGGCTATGGATAATGATAGAGTATGGATTAGTTAAGGTAAGGTAATGAAAGAGAGGCTCGTAAGAGATAATACTGGACAAAAATGACAATGTAGTAGCTGGAGGATAATAGAAATGAAATGAAATTTTTACAGTATGTTAAATAAGTATGGCTATTGAAATTAAATGTAATTTCCTAGAAACTAGTTGAATTTGAATCATGTTACATATGTTAAATATGCTTTTGATTAATTCTGTTCTTTAAACCTCAGTTTCCCATCTGCTAAATGGGGATATGTACCTCCTCTCTCAAGATTGTTCTGAGGATGAAGTGAAATTATCTGTCAGAATTTCCTTTCCCCCACTTTTCCTTTTTTGATTCTATACTTTTATTTATTTATTTTTAAACTGGCTGAATAAGCCTTGTGTCAGATAAAGCTAGATTCAGAAACACAAGATGAGTAAAACATAGGGCTTATTGTCTTAGACTTTATCATTTCATGGGGGAGGTCAGATATACGTCAAAGAGTACAGTGTGCCAACTGTATTAGAGGAGTGGAGCTGAGCCCTAGGAGGTAGGACCTGCCTAGCTATCTGATGTGTTAGTTCTGTGGAGTAGAAAGGGCTGTCTCTTAGACGCTGGGACTTCTCAGTTCCTTCTTTAACACTTAGGTTGTTTGCGTTGTGCAAAGGAGAAAATAGTAAGACAGTCAGGAAAGACATTTGAAAAATCAAGGCCATGAAAGATGACCTATTTGGACATACAGTTGGCTTGGGTAGAGCACAGGATCTGTATGGTATGGTAGTAATACAGAAGATCCAATCTTCACATTTTTTTGTTTGTTTGTTTTGGCTTTAAGATTTAGTTTCTTGACAGGCAAAGTAACTGGGAGAGCAGAGATATTCCATCCACTGATTTCATTCCTCAGAGGGCTGCCATGATCTGGGCTAAGCTAGGCTGAAGCCAGGAGCCAGGAGCTTCCTTTAGGTCTCCCGTGTGGGTAAATAGGGCCCAAGCACTTCAGCCATCCTTCACTGCCTTTCCCATGCCATTAGTAAGGAGTGGAGAAGGGACAGGAGCTGATCCTCAGATGGTGCCAGGAGGTGGCAGTCGGAATGCCAGCCCCTGAAATACTTTAATCTTCTTTCATTGAGATAACAAAGTTCTGCATACTTTTTAAGGAGGCAGTGTGATTATTTCAACATGTGTTAAAATTAAGGATAATTATAGTTCTTCATGAATTAATATTAAAGATATTTATAAGGGAAAAATAACCATTTTTCCGTGCTCTGATACTGTAACAATCAATGCAGAAGGCTCTGTAATCTCAAGTGTAGAGCTTGCCCCCTACCAGCAGGAAGCTGGCTAATGCTGGGGCAGCAGATACCAGCTGGGGTTTCCTCTATCCCAGTTCAGTTCTCTATCTACCTGAAGGTGGTGTCAAAGCCCACAGGTTAAGGACTCAGTCCCAACACTGCTTGCCTCCTCCACCTGTGCTGCTGACCCAGCAACTGTCATTTGTTGAGAGGTCCAGTGAGCTCACAGAAAGATACAGCTTTTCTGGTTTATTCTAAAGAATGATAGAAAGGCTGCAGATGGAGATGCCCAGGATGAGATAATGAGGAGGAGTCACGAACTTCCATGCCCTCTCTGGGTGCACCCCCTCCAGAACTCCACTTGTTCAGCTCTGTGGAAGTTGTTTATCCTGCCTTTTTTTTTTTAATGTGGAGAATTGATTGTCCATGACATGGGTCTGATTGCTAACAGGGAGTGGGTCGTCCTCTTGGCCTGTTTTCAAATTCTTCAGCATTCCTTCCTCTTGAGGAGGGGGAGATAGATCTCTGCCGCTAGGAGGGTCTGAAGACCTGCTTCCTGAGTGTCTGTGACCTGCTGTGGGGAAAAGTTAACAGCAGGAACTGTGTATGAAAGTAAAAAATATGTACCATAATTTCAGTTCTAGTAAAAGTGTCTGGGTTCTATTGTTGAGTGATTGGCTGCTGCTTTTACTAAATAAATGGTGATCATGTTTATATTGAATTACCATAGGATTGATGGGAGAGTGCTGACTGCCTAGTTAAGGATACTAACTAAAAAGCAGTTGTATATTTGTATATTCTGAGAACTGATTAATCTGAGATCAGATTTGAGAGCTACCGAGGGTGTAGGTAGCAACTGTGGTCAATGGAATCTGTAATAGCTTTAAAATTCCAGATTATTTCCTTATAGCTCATGTTTTCATTACAGTTGGTAAGATTTTTAGAAAAGAGATAATTAAGGGATAAAGTGAAGACTACCATGCCACTTGAAAAAGTTATTGTTCTGGAAAGGATGCTTGGCCGTAATGTTTAGGATAGCAGTTAAAACATTGGCTAAGACATCGCCACTGCATTTGGGAGTGCCTGGGTTTGGTTCCCTGCTCTGCTCTGCTCTGAATTCCAACTTCTTGCTAATTCAGACCCTGTGAAGAAACAGTGATAATTCAAGTGATTGAATTGCTGCCACCCAGGTGGGAGACCCAGGTTGAGTTACCCAACTTGGGGACCATTGTGCATTGTGGATATTTAGGGTAGTGCACTAGTGGATGGGATACCTTTCTCTCTCCCCTCCTCTCTTTGGGATTTTCAAATAAGTAAAAAAGAATTTTTGAAAATTACCATATTTCTCATATTTCTAGAACAGCAGTCTTCAGGATAAAGCATTATGTACACAACAAAATAACTAAAACAACTAATTGGAAAAGAGAAGAAAATATTACTTCTGTTTTGTCCTATTTTAATATTATTTTGATATTATATTCTATGTATATATTAATAATTTATACATAATTTCAAAATAAATGAAGTTCACATATATGCAAATATTCACCTAGGTATATGATTAGTTTAGAATTCACAGTATATATGAATGATTGGATTGCTACAAATGAGACCTTGTAATTTTCTGTGTATTGTTGCTTGAGCATAAAAATGATAGATGCATATCTAATTTAAATGTTTTTGCTTAACATCTAATAAATTAAGTTTTAATCTGTAAAATTGTCATTTTACATAGATTTTTAAAGTGTTTGTCTTTGGGGGTTATAATGCATTTTAAACATTTTCAAGTATTTTCTTTTAGTACAGTAATTGCTTTCAGTAGTAAATTGAACTCTTACTAGCAAAACTGCGGAGCTGAGTGAGCTTTGCTGGTGAAGAATATTTGTTTTGAGTTTTCCTCTGATATTTTAAGTAACTACTAATGGTGAGATTTCCCTCTCTAGCCACCTCGTACATCTCATCCTGTAGTGAAGTTTTCCTGTACAGACTGTGAACCAATGGTTATCGACAAACTGCCTTTTGACAAATATGAATTGGAGCCTTCACCACTGACTCAGTTTATCCTGGAAAGGAAATCTCCTCAAACATGTTGGCAGGTAAGCTGAGCAACTATAGTGATTTAGCAATTTAAATAACTTAATTTACAAATTAAAAAGAGAAACTTTAAAATGAAAGAATCAACCCTGCATAGGTCATTAAAATGATGTTTTAACTTCTTATTTTTTTTAACAGGTGTATGTGAGCAATAGTGCAAAATATAGTGAACTTGGTCATCCTTTTGGTTACTTGAAAGCCAGTACAGCACTGAACTGTGTCAACTTATTTGTGATGCCTTACAATTATCCAGTCCTTCTTCCCCTCTTAGGTGAGTTTGTATCATGTTCTCCGTAGCTTTGGGCATGAAAGTTTTCTAAACACTAATTCTAGCAACATTCCTTTGTAATTTCTGTTTTCTGAAAAGCAAGGAAAATGTTTTTCATGTTTTAAAATATTGAGCTTCCTAAAAAGGTTTTCTAAGACCTGTTCATGTTTATGGTGGCTGAAAGTTAATGTTGAAACATCTTTGGGTCTAAAACATCACATTTTAAAATTTTGTTCTAACTTTTCTACAAGTTAGGATATCTTATGGTTTCATCGGAAATACAAGAGAACTTTTAAAAGTTGGAATATTGGATTAAAAATTATTTTTATTTGATCTACACATAAAAGCAGTATCAAGATTCATGAAAAATTTGGAAAAATTACCTGTGTATTTCAAGGGTTTTGCACCAAAATAAATTTACCATTTAGTTTTGTTTTCCATAAAATTTTTAAAGTAACTTCTACAGGCTTTATGTTTGGTATATAAAACATTTGTTTAAGTGTTCTATCAAATCTGAATGATTCTCTTATAAAAAATTTATTCCTAATCGATAAATATTTTTGAAAATAGAATTTGTTTTAAAATACTATTAAAAATCTAAAGTTGGTTTCTAGGTATGTCTTTGGGTATGACTTTTTGAGAAGTACTGTGGAGAAAACTTTGCCTGCATGAAATCACGTCAGATTTGTTTTTCCCAGTTTGTGTTCAGGGGTATAGATTGGGCATAATTTCCTTGTTTATTTCCTGATTCTTCTTTCATTATTACATACAATTTTGGATGGCATCTTTCCATTTTTAAGATGATATTACAAATAAAATGCAAAAAGACCAGAAATTTTACTGCTTTTAATTTTGTTAAAAACACGTGTTGTTATTCTCTCACAAATGGCAAACTAGATTTTGAAAAGAAAAATTAATGGACTTCATTTTTTATTTGTGGAAACTGAGTTGTGATAGCTTGTTCATGTTATACATTTCTAGATGACTTGTTTAAAGTGCATAAAGCAAAACCAACATTGAAATGGAGACAGTCGTTTGAAAGTTATTTGAAGACAATGCCTCCCTACTACCTTGGGGTAAGGTTATTATCTTATAAAAAAAAACTTGTTTTAAATTTTGTAATTTGTTTATAGCTTAGATGTTATAGTCTGTTGTAGATTAAATAGCAGGATAATATGTAGAATATATGTAATAACAAAGTTTTCTGAGATTTACAGAATGTGTGAGAATCATGAGAATGTGTATGTACTACTTAATCCAGGCTGGGTGCTGTTCAGAATGCTTTTGTGTGTTAATATCTAATTCATACAGTCATGCTATAAGGTTGAAATGCTTGTTACTTTTACTTTATTATTTTTATTGTAATACAAAGGTCTATTTATAAGTTTCATTGGGAGTCCTATTTGTATTCCAGAGTAGAGGCTCATGCTGTGTGATACCTTTACTTCCTGGTATGATAGTTTCCCCTTGTGTAGTTCATATATGTTCTTTGCATTTTGGCTGTCTTATATCAGAGAAAATGTATGATACTTGTCCTTTTCAGACTGGCCCTTTTCACTAAGCATAATGGTTGCCAGCTGGGACCATTTTGTTACAAATGGTTAGATTTCATTCTTTTTTTATAGCTGAGTAGTATTCCTTAGAGTAGATATACCACATAGTTAACAAAATACTCTACTGGGGGCCTGGCACAGTAGTCTAGTGTCTCAAGTCCTCACGTTGCATGTGCCAGGATCCCATATGGGTGCTGGTTCTAATTCTGGCTGCTGGGATCCTGCAGCCATGTGGGAGACCTGGAAAAAGCTTTTGACACCTGCCTTTGGATCAGCTCCACTATGGCTGTTGCAGCCACTTGTGGAGTGAACCAGCAGATATAAGATCTTTCTGTCTATGCTTCTCTCTGTAAATCTTACTTCAGAATAAAAATAAATGAATCTTAAAATAAAATGAACAACTGCACTAATGGTCTTATCTATGATTACACTCTAGTTTTCCAAAAGAGTATGGCTCTATGAGAAAACATTTATCCACCTAAAACGGTGTTCCTGGAGATTTGGAAGAGTGTTCAACAAAACAATTTTAGATTATTGAAAAGGTGGCTCTTTAAAGAGATTTGTTTATTCTTGAAGCTCACGTTTACAGAGAGAAAAGGAGATCTTCATCTGCTGGCCTGCTCAGCTGGCTGCAACAGCCAGCACGGTGCATGGCCGAAGCCAGGAGCTTGTTCTAATCTCCCACATGGGTGAAGGCCCAAGTACTTGATTCATCTGCCATTGCCTTTCCAGGCCATGAGCAGGGAACTGGATTAGAAGTGCAATAGGCAGGGAACAGCCCAGGGTCCATGCAGAATGCCAGCATCACAGCTTCTTAAAAAGATGTGTGCTGAAACCACTTTTAAGCATTACTTCTCCTTTTTAAACTGTTATAGCATCTGGCTATAACCAATCTCTTAATGGTTCCTAGTATAAGTAGATTAATTTTTTGATCTTTGAAAATCATAATAATGTTATAGTTTGAAGAGAAGTTATGTTGAATGACTTGCCTACAGCAATTGTAAAGAGGGGAAGAGGAAGAAACATTTTGAGTAGGAACTAGTACGGACACTGACTTTGTTTATTTTGTAACAACTGTGAGGTGTTAAACCAGATTTGATGTTCATTCTAGGTTGACACCAGTGCTCATACACTTTCTAATACAGTAGTGGTTATTGTTTTTTTGGCTGTGTCCCATTCACAAATGTTAGCTGCTCCTGCTGGTTGTATTTTTGGCTGCACAAAGTAGTTCTCAATCGCTTTACAATTGCATTTTTTCACTATATCTCATCCATTATAAATATTAGGCTAATTCCTCTTCATACTTATTGTAAGATTTTGTTTTTTTTCAGTATAGCCAATGATAGGAATGATTAATGCATATTGAATGCTTGATGTATGTCTGCTGCTTTTATAAGTGTTTTTCAGTTATTTAATTCTTTAATGCTATGACAAACCTAAAAGGATAGGTACTGTTATTATTATTATTCCTGCTACACAAATGAAAAATTAATCACAGAGGTTCTGTAAGCTGGTTCACCCATATACACAGCGGGTAGGTGAACCATACCCAGGGTAGAAATAGAAATCTTGTGTTTTCCCTGTCCTCTGCACATGTTTCTTTTTTGTTCTTTTCCTTCCTTCCCTCCTTGCTTCCCTCTCTTCCTCACTCGCTACCTTCCTTTCCTTCCCTCACTCCCTCTTTCCCTTTTGCTTTTTTTTCCCTTTCCTTTTCTTCCTATCTTTTCTTTTTTTTCTTCTTTCTCTCTCTCTTTCTTTTCACTTATTTATTTAATTGAAAGGCATGGGTAACACAGAGAGAGTTCTTCATTGGCTGATTTCTTCCACAAATGGCCACAATGACACCAGGACTGACTGAGCCAAGCAGAAGCCAGGCGCTTGCTTCTCTCTGGTTTCTCATGTGAGTGTTGGGGTCCAAACCTCTGCTGCTTTTCCAGAGATACTAGCAGAGACCTGGATTGGAAGTGGAGCATCTGAGACACTAATGAGCTCCCATATAGAATGCCAGAGCTTTAGGTAGCAGCTTAATGGGCTACCCAACAATGCTAGCCCGTCATGTGTTAAAATTTTTAAAAATCTACATTGTAATGGGTCTGTTGTTCATCTTACCCAAATTTAGTTCTGTCTTACGACAATACTAAGCATTGCAGTACTTCATCCTTAGTGCTGAAGGAATGATTTATTTTTAACTGTTTCAGATTGCTTTTCATGCCACTGACAAACATTTTGCTGAAATGTAAATATAATTAAATCACTTCTTTATGGGCCTGGCACCGTGGCCTAGTGGCTAAAGTCCTCGGATTGGCATAGCATCGGCCCTTGCGCTCACTTGGGGAGTGAATCGTGGGATGGAAGATCTTCCTCTCTGTCTCTCCTCTCTGTATATCCGCCTTTCCAATAAAAATAAAATAAATCTTTTAAAAAAAATACTTCCTTATTGAGAAAAAATGGAGAAATTTCTCTACATGGAAACATGTAATTTTAAGTTTGTTGAATAATGCTTGCTTCTTTCCTGTAGCCCTTGAAGAAAGCTGTTAGAATGATGGGAGCACCTAACCTAATAGCAGACAGTATGGAATATGGACTTAGTTACAGTGTCATCTCATACCTCAAAAAGTTGAGTCAACAGGTAATTTAAGAAAGTTAATGAGTCTAAGTTTTTCAGTGTTTTGGCAAAGTTAGTGTGCTAGAAACTACTGATGGTTAAATGGAATTCCATTTTGTTGATATTACATTTTAAAGCCTCATGTGTCATATATTAATATAATTCTGCCTATGATGCCTATAATATAATTCTGTCTATGATCTGCTTGTTTTCAAATGTTATTTTTACGGTTTTATAATTCCCACTTATGAAAATACTTCCTTAATATGACCTAGATTTCCTGCATGGGAACAGTTTTTTTATGGAAATTATGTTAGAAACCCCTCCCCCCTTTGTGAAAAAAGCAGCAATTTCCTTTTCTTTGTGTTGTAGAACCTGTAGATTTTTATTTAAAAAATAGGGGTTTCTTTTAAAATGTTTTTAGAAAGAATACGTTTTATTATTCTGGACATAAATCACATTAAGCGATCCTATGATAGATTGAACTGGCCACAGTTGTCTTGAAAAACACAGTACTTTTGACACTTCTACCTTAACTGCTAGTTAAAGTGCAGTTTGGGAGGAGTCAAAACACTGCTGTTCACTTCCTGTTGATAAATTGTGCACAATTTGCCATATCCTTGTGTACATGTTAATGCAATATCTTTAGGTAACTTGATGAGATTGCTGTTTTTGTAATTTTTCGCAATCTCTGATTTAGGGATATTCATTTTCATGTCGGGTGCTTTTACATGTCATAGGTGTAAGTGTAGTTGGAATTAATAAATAACTAATTGAAATTGTACTTGTTTGTTCTTTTAAAAATTTAGAATTGTAATGATTTAAAGCCATTGCTTGAGCTTCACATTTTTAGGTGCTTTTGAATATATAGTAAGTTTATAGAAGACTAGCTATTGATATTTGGTTTATCAAGTTAGTCATATCAATATAACTACTGTTTGTTTTCACTTTAGGCCAAAATAGAATCTGATCGAGTCATTGGATCTGTAGGTAAAAAAGTAGTACAAGAAACTGGTATTAAAGTCCGAAGTCGATCCCATGGTTCGTCAATGGCATATAGAAAAGATTTTCAACAACTCCTTCAGGGAATTTCAGAGGATGTCCCTCACAGACTGCTGGATCTTAATATGAAGGAATACACTGGGTTCCAAGTTGCTTTGCTAAATAAGGTATAAATCAAATAAATTTAGCACTGTTCTAGCTATGTTGTGTTATGTTGTTGAGTAAATTCACTTTTGTTCATTGTCATTCAGTTTGTCTAAATTTGAAGAAAGTACTTTTGTGTCTGCAGAATAATGATCATTATGTTATCATTGAGTCATTAAATGTTAGTTAAAACAAATTTACATGATATGAGTTGATGAAAAGTAGAGAACCTCATGTATTTCACAGATGAGGAACAAGCGTAGAGATTGTCCAAAGTTATTTTGCTGAACTTTGCAGAACTTGGACTTTTGACCCACAAACAATTTATGAATATTCTTGACAAAATAGCGTTATCCTGACAGCCTTTCTGTAGAAATAGGAAACTGATTCTAAAATTTATGTGGAAATGGAAATGTTCTTACATAGTTAAAGCAATTTTGGAAAGCAAGGATAAAGTTAGAAACCTTATACCATCTGACTTTAAAATTTACTGTGAAGCTGTAGTGGTGAACACTGATTTAGCATAAAGATTAATTCAGTTCAGTAGAAAAGAGGAGTACAGATGAATACCCTCACACATATAGTCAATTTTTAACAGGTGCTAAAAAAATTTAGTGGGTGTGAAAGCAGTCTTAAGTAGGTCACTCTGGAGCAATTAGATGTTGTGTTAGTAACAGGTTTTAAAGCATAACAGAAAACATGAAACAAAGTTGATAAATTGAGCTTCATTAAGATTTTAAAAATTGTGCTCTTCCAAGAAACTTTAAAATGAACAGACAAGCTGCATATATACTTAGGAGACAAGAATACATACAGTAAAGGACTTGTATCAGATATATCACAGACATGTCCAACTCTAATAAAAAGACAAATGTCCCAGTAAAAATGGGAAAAATACTGAATTCATTAAAGATATACAAGTGAAAATGGTCACACAAGAGATAATCAATTCTTAGCTGATAAAGAGATACAAATTAAAATCAAAATGAGAATCTACTTTATACCTTGTAAAATGACTAAAATTTGTGGCTAAAAAACATCCATTGTTGGTGAGTATGTGGAAAACTGAAATAGCTAACTGATGGAGAATAGTTAGCAGTTTAAGAAATTAAATATGTATTTACCTTAAAATTGGCTACTCCACTTATAGATACCTATGTAAGAAAGATGAACATGTATGTCTGTGTACATACAGCCTTGTATGTCCGTCAGTGTTCACATATGGAAGCATTATTTATAATGCTAAAATCAATCAGATATCCATCAACTTGTGATGTAATGGCATTGGTGTGGCATGTCCATACAGTAAATTATTCCAGAATGAAAAGAAGATGCTATGATACATAAGGAACATAATACTCATTGGAAGAAGCCAGATACAGAAACTTAGATATTACAAGAAGTACAGTGATTGCCTGGGAATAAGAATAGATAATAACTACCAATGGGTATAGGAAACTTTATAGAGTGGTGTGTGGTAATGGTTTGATGAGTATAAATTTATCAACACTCATCCAAGTGTGTTCTTACAGAATATGATTTTGTGGCATTTAAGTTACATCAAAGCTATTTCATAGACCCGTTGATCGTTAAAATTTTGAGATTGGTTTTTATTTAAGTAAACTAACTTCTATCAAAAATGTAATAGAAATCTTTAGACTTTTAATATGGACTTAAGATTACATGAGGATAGTTGTATTTACTACAAAATTTTCATCTTTTGGTCCTAAATTAGTGCTTTTTAAGATTATGTCATGTTTTTATTTTTTGAGTTAACTAATATGTGTGACTTATTTCTAAACTAACTGCAGGCTGGAAATTTTAATCTGTTTTAACTCTCTTTGAAAATAAATTTTGTCCTTGAATGTTTTTCAATAGGATTTGAAGCCTCAAACGTTTAGAAATGCCTATGACATACCAAGACGTAATCTTTTGGATCACTTGACGAGAATGAGATCTAATCTTTTGAAGAGCACTCGTAAATTTCTTAAAGGACAGGATGAAGGTTAAATTTTATAGTTCTAATATTAGTGATATTTGTGTGTAATTTTTCTTTATAGCCTGAGAAAATATAGCATGATAATATAAATGTAAAGATTTAGTACAATAAGTGTTACATTTTTATTGTAAAGTTAAACCAGTGAAGTCAAATATAAGTGATTCCAGATGCTCTCTCTTCCCTCCTGGTGTCACTGTTGCTTGTAACTGCTCCCCAGAGGTAACAGCCTTTGTTGTCAGTTTAGTTTCCTTTTTGCACTTTACTCAGATGTTTATATGCAGATGAGTACATACAAGCATGTTCTTTTGATGTATTTGTATTCAATGGCTTAACTCTGTATGACTGGTACATGGCATGTTCTGAAATTTCCTTCAGCTATGTTCATGGCATCTGCTGCAAATCAAGTCAGATGAGAACTTACCCCTTGCTTTAAAATTCTAACTATAGTTTCACATTGAAGGGTTGTTTATATGGCTTCGCTTTTCTACTGTACTACATTTTATTGCTTTCTTTTCTGAAATTTCGTAATGAAGCTTTGGAGCAAAAGAGTTAGGCCTTTCATAATAAATTTATATATGCTGCAATATTTTTTGCTTTGTTTGGAAGTGAAAACCATTTTAAGTTTTATTTTTAAAATGTAGACTTTGTCTTAATATTTATATTACAGCAAACTAAAATATGTTGTTAAGGGAGAATATGATCTTGAATAACACTGGGTAGCATTTATAGATTTGATAACTGGATGGATTGAAATTTAACTTCTAATGTATTTTTATTTTTATTTTTTTTTTTTAAGATCAAGTACACAGTGTTCCTATAGCACAAATGGGGAATTACCAGGAATACCTCAAGCAAGTACCTTCTCCACTGAGAGAACTTGATCCCGATCAACCTCGACGGTTGCATACGTTTGGCAACCCATTTAAGCTGGATAAAAAGGTAAAGTTTGAAGAGTTCCATTATGTAATGTATTTGCGGTGTGTATTTGTCAATTTCACAGCCTCTTAATTTAGCTAAAGTATATTTTCCTGATTGTCTAAGAAACTGAGCGATTATAGTTAAAATAGATGCTACTTTAAATTTATGTTATTTGAAAGAGAGATAGGGACACACAGGGATAGTCTACCACCTGCTGTTCACCCTCCAAGTGCCCATCATAGCTCAGGCTGAAGCTGGGAGCTGGGAACTCAGGCCAGGACCAGCTGCTTAAAACATCAGCTGTTGCCTTCCAGAGCCAAGAACTTCATCCTTGTTTCCCACATAGGTAGCAGGGACCTAAGTACTTGGCCCATCAACTTCTACCTTCCCAGTCACTTTAACAAGAAGCTGCATTGCAAGTGGAGCAGCAAGACTTGAACTGGCTCTCCAAAATGGAATGCCAACATAGCAAGCAGCAGCCTAAGCCATTCTGTGTAATGCTAACACCTCAAGTAGTGTTTTGACCACTATACCATACCCACCCCAAAATACCATTGTTTTAATTGGAGTTGGGATTAGTTCTACCATTTTAGAATAGAATATAAATCCATAACAATTGTATTCTTTTTGTTAAAACTAGAATGGCTAGATGGTTACCAAAGGGCTTGAAGAGAAGGAAAAGGGTGGGGAAAAGGATATTAAGTGTCAGTTAGGTGGGTGTAACCTATTACATTGTATGGTGATCATAGTTTAAATATGTTGTGTTGCATATTTAAACAGAGTCTTTACATTGTCATCATGCAAAATAGAGTGCTTAACTTGTGAGACTGTAGATTTATTAGCTTGATTGAATGTTTGGTGTGTGTTTGCGTGTGCGTGTGTGGAGAACAAAATACCATGCTATACCCCATAAATATACACAATTTGCTAATTAAAAAATAAGTGAAAATAGATATTTAAAAATTGTATGTAAACTCAAAATTGGTTTTTAGGGTATGATGATAGATGAAGCAGATGAATTTGTGGCTGGACCTCAGAATAAACATAAGCGACCAGGTGAACCAAATATGCAAGGGATCCCTAAGCGACGTCGGTGCATGTCTCCTCTCTTGAGAGGCAGGCAGCAGAATCCTGTCGTGAATAATCATATTGGAGGCAAAGGACCACCTGCACCTGCGGCTCAAGCACAGCCAGACCTCACTAAGCCCCTTCCTCTTCATAACAGTAAGATTTTTTAAAACATGTTTTTGGTGCTGTTTGAGTTCTTCATTATAGAAGAAATTTTTGCTCTAGATTTTAAGAATTTGCTAAAGATTTTAAGAGAAGCTTTTCTAAAGTAGCATGTAATAATTCTTGTATGTATTTCTAGTGAACATTTTATATATTCATGATGCTTCATTAGCTATCATTTTCTAAAATATTTGTGAATCTCAAAGTTTTTCAAAGTAGTTTTGAAAGAATCATCAGTTTTAGTAACTAATTAATAAATAGGCTATTTTGGTTAATGTATTCAGTGACCGAGACAGTAGTGATCTTTGCCCTCATTTATGATGAGCAAGGAAAGACAGTTATTGCATAGTTATAAATGTTAAAAAAGAAGTCAGATATATTGTGGAAACTTTTGACAAGAGGTTTTAAATTAGTTTGTGATGTCAGTCACTTTTCCTGAGGAAGTTATATTTTAACTGACCTTGAAAGATTGATGAGAATTGAATGAAAATATGCATTTGCTTATACTAAAGAGATAATTTAAGAAGACTATGTGTACAATTAGTAATAAGAAAAGTGTTAAGGGAATGCATAATTCTAGTGTAGTGTGGATATTGAATATGAGGTCCATGAGTACCAAAAGATAAAATGCCAGAAAAGATGGGGCCTTAGAAGGTGCTGTGAAGATTCTGTACTTTATGTTAAGGACACTTAGAACTCACTGAAAGATTTTGAGAGATGTGGCCTGGTCTACCATTTCATAAAAACTAGCCTGACTGTAATTTGTGAATTGTTACGAAAGAGCAAAAATGAACATAGAGAATCGTTAATGAATGGATTTATTAATTGTAAGTAGTTATCATTCCTGGGTTATTATGATATCTTAAAGGAGAGAAACCAAATATTGTGTACCTTCTGGTGGGATTACACAATGCTGCCACTGAAGTAGTAGTCTCGGTCAAATTTTAGGATTTCTTTTTAAAGATTTATTTATTTTTATTATAAAAGCAGATTTACAGAGAGAAGGAGACAGAAAGATCTTCCATCCAAGGGTTCCTCCTCATGAGGCCTCAACAGCCAGAGCTGAGCCAATCCAAAGCCAACAGCCAGGACCTTCTTTCGGGTCTCTCACCTGAGTGTAGGGTCCCAAGGATTTGGGCTGTCTTGACTGCTTTCCCAGGCTACAAACAGGGAGCTGAAAGGGAAGTAGAGCATCTGGGATACGAACTGGCACCCATACAGGATCCTGGTGCATGCAAGGCGAGGACTTTAGCCAATAGGTTTCCGTGCTGGGTCCTTGATCCAGTTTTAAAAAGTGAGGAAAAGATATCAAATAGTCAGGCTCCAGACTTAGCTAGCAATTGATAGGAAATACAGAGGATAAAAAAAACGTAACATGATAAAACAGGGATATAATTAGCAAAATCTAGACTGTAGGAAATGCTGCAGAACAAGTGTATCTGTTAGTTCTCCTTTCATTCCCCATGAAAAATACATAAGCACAAACAGAAGTACAGAGGGATTTTATAGAAAAAAAGGGTTGTTAAGAGGCTTATCAAGTCCAGTATGAGTATACAGGCTCAAATGGGCCCTGGACCAAATAAATATCAAACTTTTCAGCAAGAGAAAAAAAAGGCAGTTGAAGAATGTAAACTCTGACATAGTGTCTGTGATGTTAAATAGCTACTATACATGTTCAGGGGGAAGTTAGAAAACTGAGGGGAGAGAAACTCAGGATCTGGCTGGCAATGAGATTATTTGTATCTGAGAAGTAACTGAATATTGTCTCATTGGGTATTGGGCCAGACAAGGGAAGCATCTGTTCTGCAGCACTTGGGGAGGACCAGGAAGCAGGGGAAGGCATGATGTGCATGGAAGTACATATTGGAAATTCCACAGCAAAAGATGAGTATTTGAGTCCTAAACTCAAATTGAGTAAGATCTCATCAAGGAGAAACTAGAAGGGAAAAAAAGTGAAGTCCAGAACAAAATGTTAAAAATGTTAGTGTTAAGAATGGAAAACAGAAAAGGAAAAAATCTGATAGGAGAATATAGTGAAGAATTTAACATCATAGAAGCTGAAGGGAACTAGAATGGATTTTTGGTACTCAGTTGCTCAATAAGATAGGTCAGTTAGAGGAGTAGAAAGATTGTGTCAGTAACATGAAAGATGTGTTTAAGGGCTGTTGTGTTGCAACCACTAGAGAGGCAGAATTGAAAATGAAGGCATGAGCACCAAGGCAAAAGGGAGTGTTCTAGACTGCTGTTGAAAGACAGCTACTTCAATTGAGTGGCACGGGTTTGGGTACACATTTAGTAAGGCAAGGTAGAGGAAGTTCCTGGACTACAACTTTGTAATGAATGCTAGGTGACTTTCCCCCACCCCTGTGACACAGGAAGTATGCTGCTGAGGGGGAAGGGATGTCAGAGTGAGTCAGATTGAAGAGGGTGGTGGAAGTTAAAGTAATCTTTGCAGAAGAGGAAGAAAAGTTTGTGCAAGATTGCTGGGCAGTGCTGAAGATGAACAAACTGGTGATTGTGACCACTTGGTAGAGCTCCATCAATGCTTGTCACTTTGAAATGAAGGTCATAAGGAAGCAGATACAGTCACTAAGTTTGAGGTATTGCTTAGCAGGGATTCTAGGAGGACCAGGGAACAAGAGAATAAATGACATTGATAATAGTGATATATCGTGAGAGATAGGTCTGATAGGTAAGAAAGGCACAGGGTGGAACAGCTCTGATTCAAAGGAGGGAGAAAGTAGAGATGTTTCTGAGATAGAGGCTTGGCTGAGTCAAAGAGCATTAGCCAGGGCCCTGCAAAAATGAGGACTAGGCTCTTTGATTCCTGAATTTTGGTTGGATGAATGGACAGACAGCATGTAAGCAGAGTGTTCTTTAGAGTTTAGGAATTGGGGATGGGAGGCAGATTCTTGACAGGTGGGCTGCTTAGTCCAGGTGCCCACCATGGCACTTGTCACACTTTAACGTACCTCTGAAGCACCTGGGGGTCTAGCTAACCCACAGATAATGGGGCTCAAAATGAAACTTTGCAGCAAGCTCTCTAATGATGTTAATGCTGCTTGTCCACAGACTATGCTGAGTAGCTAGGATCTGAAATCAGTGGGTGAGAGGAAGGCATTGAACCAGATGCCAAAGATACCACTGGCTACAAAAGTGCCCTGAAGTTCAGTGTAAGGTAGTAATGAGGCAAGTGAGATGAGCCTCAGAATAGCAATCATTTTTTACAAGAATGCCTGGAATAAATTATGGAATGACACGGGGAGGCCACACACTAAGTGACATTGCGTCCCGATTTTAATTGTGTGGGGATTATTTGAGGGAATGCAATTTCTACTCCAGGTCTCTAAAGAAGTGAATTTTTTTTTTTTTGAGACCTGGATTTCGCTTAAATTGCACAATATTGTAGGGAGTATTCAATGAAGAGGAATTAGGAATTGTGCTGTTCTAAAGCTAGATTTAGGAAGGATTCAGGCATTCAGAGGATTGCAGGGCTGGGTGTACAGGGAAGTATGGGTAAATCAGGAACTGACATTTAGAGATAGTAAGAGAGGACAGCAGAAATGAATTTAGGTGAAGTCTGGAGCTTGATGATTAATTGAGAACTTAGAATTAGAATTCAACTACTTTTCTGTGGGGAGAAAGTAATAATTGGCATGAACTGGCTATTTTGCATGCTTGTGAGGCTAATAGTCTGATGAACTGCAGGAGGCAGCATGTTGCTCTGCATTGTTCAACTCATGCTTACAAGAGAAGGGTGTGCTGCTGAGAAGCATGACCTGTGTGTTCTCTGCAGAATTTGCGAAAGTCAAAGTTGTTCTGTTTACTCTTGCCTCTAAAGTAGAATAGATCCATTGGAATGAGCTAGAATTCTTGAGGGTAAAGATGACCTTGGTAATTTTAATCACATGTATTTCACTAACATATTAAAAACCTTCTTCAATAAAATGTTAAAGAACAAAACAGAACTAAAAGCTAGTTGGAATTGGTTTTTCTTTTTTGGTATTTTTTCCCTAAGGAAAAGGTAAACAGATTTTGTGACAATTATGAATGTGATACATTAAAATCCACCATGTCTTTGGCAAAGCTTAAGAGCCACATCATGTCATTTGTTAATTTACCTTAATCAAAGATATCAATTGTGATTTACTTGGAAGAGGTGCTTTACTTTCAGTGTGCTTTCAGCATTTTTTTCCCGTTTGTTTTTTAGTTTCAGAAGCTACTAATGATTCAACAGCGGATGATGTGATTGAAAATCATGTTACAGACCAACTTTCATCAGATGTTACACCAAATGCTATGGATACTGAATTTTCAACGTCATCTTCTCCAGCCAGTATACTGGAACGACCAACTAATCATACAGAGGCTCTTGGGCACGATCATTTAGGAACTAATGACCTCACTGTTGGTGGATTTTTAGAAAATCATGAGGAACCAAGAGATAAAGAACAGTGTGCCGAGGAGAATATACCAGCATCTTCACTCAGCAAAGGAAAGAAATTAATGCATTGCAGAAGCCATGAAGAGGTCAACACTGAATTAAAAGCACAAATAATGAAAGAAATCCGAAAACCAGGAAGAAGTATGTATAATTAAAGGCAAACTTCAGATTTGATTTCTGTATGTTGAATTAACTAAACATATAGATCTGATTCTAGAATTGGTTTTGAGCACTATTTGAATCATGTGTGTTGATTCTTTGTTCAGTATGTGATCACCGAATATCTGCTATTTCCAAGGTACTAGGTATGACAGGCAGTAAGAACTGGGAGCTGAAGAAAACTATATAAATAAGTTATATATGATTCCTGCCATGATGGACACCCATTGTCATGAGTGTTCTAACCACCAACCTCCCCAAATTAGAGTGAATATTATTAGATGATTTTATGTCTGTAAATATATTTTTGTTATAGAATGTATGTTAAAGATTTAAACTCATAGTGACTAGGGATGTGCTTATGCCAAAAAACAAAATGATATAAATATAGAAGCCCTTTATGGGAATATAACTCACTGTTATTTACATTCATTCAGAAAATGGTAACAGATCACTTGGTCTAATGGTGCAAAAATGACCCAGAGTGGTCCAGAAGTGGGTCAGACTCAGAACTTGGCATTTCGAAGCTAACTTGGCAAAATTGAATGTGAAAATGTGAAGTAGAAATAGCATCTTTAAATCATTTGGGTGTTTTTGTTTTTGTTTTTCATTTGTGTTAAATTTCAGTTTAGAATTTAAATTACAAAGATGGAGTTTAAAAAGGCCACTTCTTGTTTTCTTGTCATTAGTACTTCCAAAAAGCCGGTGTACCCTCATGTTTCTAAGCTTTATGCTAACACCTTCATGGGAACTTATCTGTAAAACATTGTTTGACAAGTTGTTGTAACTTTGTTGACACATACTTTTTAAAAAATGTGTTGTAAACCTCTGAGCAGTGAAATTTTATATAAATTATTTTTGTTTCAATATATCTCAATGTTGTAAGCCACTTAATTTTTCCTTTTGCTTCTCTCATTTTAAGAATATGAAAGAATCTTCACTTTACTGAAGCATGTGCAAGGCAGTTTACAAACAAGACTAATATTTTTACAAAATGTCATTAAGGAAGCGGCAAGGTAAATTTATTTTTTGCTTTCAAATTTAATGATGAATGAACCCACAGTTTGCACTCATATAGGAAATTGTTAATTGTATCTGTGTTTGTGCATGTTCATGACAAACTATGTAGAACTCCCCTCTACCCAAGTTGAAAGCAATTCACTTAAAAAGAAGCCACATAAACCTAAAAGGATTGTAGCTCATTTATCTATGTAAAGTATTAGATGGTTTCTTAATTTTTGCTTATCCTTCTCTGTAGCCTAAATTTTTGGCCTTTATATCTTAATCAATAATTAGATATAACTTTGAAAGACTTTGAGTGCACTTCTTACCTGAAAAGATGGTATTAAAAGTAACAGAGTTGCACAAATGGACCTTACTCTGATTGCTTCAGTAGATCAGGATTATGTACTTTAGGACAAGGATTGTGGATCAATGTTACAAATATCACTGAGAAGTACAGTTAATTGAAAAGCATACTTGTATGGGTTTAAAAGCAATTTTAATGTTTCTTTTGAAACATTATGAATTTTCATATTAGAAGACTTGTGGTTTATCTCATGTTTCGGTTATAAACATACTCATGTTGTGATTAACCCTCTCTCTTCGTTGCTGCATGTATAGAATTTAGAGCAAGCAGTTTTTCCCCTGCGACACAAGCTACCTTTATAGTACATAAACTACTCTGAAAGATCAAGATAAGATCACAGCTTTTTACATGGCTGACAAATTATTCTGTTTTTTGACGCCACAAATGAAATCTCATAGTGACTTATATTCCTGGGATCCATACTACTGCCACTTTTAGAAAATGGACTATTGTGGTGTCTGTCTGTTTGTTACAGGAAGAAAGGATATAGAGCACAATTTAGTGTTTTTACTAATGTTTATGTAGAGGACTATAATTTTAGTCTACCTATATTTATTGCTGACTTTTTTGATTAACTAGCTATTTAAGTTGCAGTAATGGAAAACCATGATTTTAATTCTGTTGTCCGATTTTCATTTCTGCTTCCATTTTGTGGAGATTATATTCATACTTTCTACATATACTGTTCAGTGAGCAATAGTAGCACTTGGATTAATTGTTTTGGGAGTCCACATTTTCCTGGAATGTTTACAATCTGCAGACAGTGGTAGTTTTGTCTTTGGTTTTGTTTTTGGTTCAATTTGGTTGTAGAACTCTTTCTTATTTTTTCTGGGTTCAGACTATTTTAGAGACAAACTATGGAGTTCTGTTGATAAAATAATTTGTTAATCTTTCAACAGATTTTATGCCATGGAAAATTGATTTTCCATTTTTCATTCCACTTTAAAAAATCTTTCAAAAGCAATATTTTGCTCCTTTTTAAACATATTATATTATCCATTAAAAATAATTGAGAGTGCTATTATTTATGTTTTTGTACAGGTTTAAAAAACGAATGCTGATAGAACAACTAGAGAACTTCTTGGATGAAATTCATCGAAGAGCTAATCAGATCAACCACATTAATAGCAATTAAAAGAAAATAGAGTGCGGCCTCTTATTTCACTGTCTTCTCCAAATACAAAGTAAATACAAGACTGTTGTGATCTTGCATTCATTTTTTGACATGCATTGTTGGCTATTTGAAATACTAAGAGCAAGACTCCAGATCCTTTTTCCATCATTTTACAGTGACCTTTTCTTCATTTTGGTTTATTTTTGTAATGTGAAAAGTATCACTCTAAAAAAAATTTTTATTTAACAAACTAAAAATATTCCTTCAAATCTCTTGCTTGTCATTGACTCTTGCGTGTCAATTTCCCTCAGGTTCTATTTTCTTAAACCAACCTTTAAAAGTGTCACCTCTGTTAAGGTTGAACTTTGCCAAAAAAAAAAATTAAAAATAAGTTACTTTGTAATTTTTGGGGAAAAAAAAGCACATACATTAAACTAGGTAATGTTTTGTATATACAGTTATTTTGGATATATTATTGTAAGTTGTACAAATGTATTTTGAAGAATATTTAAGAAAAGCACTTTTGTTATTCCATCAATAAATGCTCTATTTTACTCTTGTGTGGTTTAGGAAATAATGACATTTAAAGTAATCACTCAAGAAACATCTAAAGACAATGGAATTTTAAAGGCCTTGCTTTTTAGCATTGGAAAAGTACACACTTAATGATCATATTTGTTAATGATCATATTTGTTAAATCTACCTGTAATTACTTGTTACATAACACAAGTCTGCATTGTCTTTTTACCATGTTTGTAGTTTTTGTTGGCCAAGCCAACATACTCCCATTTCTAGGTAATGGGAGTGACTGTCTGGCAGACAGACAGACACTTTAAAAGCTACTCAGAAAGCAGACCACTTTGGACATTATTGGTTTTCTTATTTCCCTTCATCCCTGTTTTCTTTCTCAGTAGAATTGTCAGTGGCACCAAGTGGGGGCTGTTAGGGAGTGGTTATGCTTGGGGTGTACTGCATACTCTGAATTGCCTAACCTTTTGCAATCTGATGCCATGCTTACAAAAGCCCATGATTTAGAGGCTCTGAGGGGATCTCCTTCTTCTGCTCTGCTATGCTCACACTGAACTCTCCATTTTATTTAGAAATGAAACGAAAAGGAAACACATAAGATGACTTGTCCCGTTTTGCATTCTCTGTGAGTTAAACAGAATAAGGAAAATTGACTCTTCGCTTTTTGCCTCAGTCCAGTGTGACTTCATGTGTCATTACTGTGGAAGCAGTCTCTGATTCATTCATGCTTCATAGATTGCTGCTGTACCTTTTAGTGGATTAGAGATGCCCAATAGAAAAAAAAGTTAAAAAAGATTTAAACTGAGAGAGCAAAATAAATGTATAAAATTAAAATATTTTAAGCCCATAATATTTGAAAATCACAAAACTTATCTTTTGCATTTTATCAAAACTTTAAGTTGCAAGAATATAGAAAATACAGGAAAATGAAGCTCTTTTATGAAGAAAAGCATAGATAAAAGGAGACAGCATGCTTGAGATCTTCTGATTCAGTCAAGGGGACTTGAAACTCTCCCAGTACTGAGGATAAGCCCTGTCAAGAAAAAGAAGCATTTAATCTGAACATTATGTAGTATTTTCATAAGCAATTCTTTCAAGCTTTTTTGCCTCTACTGAATACCTTTAAGTAAAATTAGCTACCACTCAGCGGATTAGGAATTGTTAAGGAAGTTGCCTGCAGTAAGCATTGCAAAATTCAACATGAACTATACAAAATCCAGAATATGTCTGTCCTCAAATTATATTTAGTTAGATCTTGAGATTAATAGAAAGACTTAGAAGTCACTCATTTAAAATTCATATTTAGCAATAATATCTAGGAAAGAGAATCGCTGTATTCTAATAGTTAGCAGTTTTTTTTTTATTTAAGTTATTTCCGTCTCACAGGTTGCACGAAGTGTAATAATCCTTTAGATCCCTAGCAGGTTGTGCATTTTTCAGAAAGAACTTTTAAGGGGGTTGGACAGTAGCAGTCTGTTCTGTCTTCTTCTTCTTCTTTTTTTTTTTTTTGTCCTTTATCTCTCAGCCACAATGCTCTTTCCATCCTCATCTCCGATCCTAGTTCTACAATTTGAATTCATCATAATGACAGTTTAACATCCCTTTTTTGTTTAAGTTTTTTACATTTTGTAAAACTGCAAGCATATTAGTTTGTGTAATACTTACTGTAGAATTCTTGTCAGCAAAGAGGCAAGTAATTATATATGGGGAGAGTATCATGTCTTTTTTAAACTCTTCATATCACTGAAAATGACCTTAGACTGCGCAAGTGATATTCTCTAAAATTTTAGTCTTCAGGGTTATTAGTTGCTCCTTATCAGTATATTTGTTTGGAGTTGTGAATGACAGAGTTTCATTTTTAATAACCATCACCAGCAGAAAAACCACTTTGTTGCCTTGTGTGTGTGATGTGGGCAAATGCCTCCCAGAAAAAGAAATAAATTCACTAAGATTATGCTTATATTTGCAATGGCTTATGGTACCGGTTTTAGATTAACATTTCATTTTCATTGTAATAACTAAGACAGTTCTGAAAGTCACACCATTGATTTTTGTGGTGTGTCCTTTCCTACTTGCAGGATTTAACATCATTTTTATGTAGTTAAGTTCCAAAAACAATCTTTCTCTTTTAACCATCATCAACCTTTATTGGCTGTCAACTTTTGGCAGTGGCTTTTATGTTCAAGTTTAGTCCTGCATCCATTATTTCTTGAGAGAGTAAAACCTGTCATTATTTTCATCTTTCATTTTTTTGACATGTATTCTTTCTAAGAGAGGGCTCGGCTGCCTGTTCTGAGTGACAAATGGCATTTTCATCTAATCACTATGGGGTTGGGATGATCATGAAATACTGGGAAGATATTTTCTGTTGATGGACTTTTTCTCCTCTAAATAATCCCCAAAACAAGTTATTTTCTAGTGAATGATTATAATCATCCTTTTTGTCACAAAAATGTTCCTTTGATTTCCAGCTCAAGTTACGGCACTAATGATTTTCAGATAAAATGATGTAGACAGTATTTCCTTAACAATTTGTGTAAAACTCTGCGTAATTTTCATTATTCTAACATTTGACATTTTTTTTGCTCTCCATAAATAAAAGTAATACCTGATGTTTAGTTAAAGTAGATCCACCTTTGCTTGATTTTATTAGTCTTGTTCCATCCTATTTGTTTAGAATTGCCAACAGCTCTTTACTGAGAATCTCTGCCTTCTAGGCTAATAAGGTATTGTTAGAGTGGGAGGAGGAACTAATGTAAAGATGTTACATTAAGCTTAACTGACACCTTAAGTGGCACCTCGTGTCTCATGCCACACCATCTCTGAATTAGCATAACATTTGCATATGGGACTTAAAAGTAGTAGTAGGGCAAATATTAGAGTTTCGAGAAAAATCAACTGAAGAACAGTGTAAAAAAGCCTGTTGTGTTGACTGAAATACTAGAGTTGCTGTGTCCCAGGGAGACAACTACTACTTGAGTGGCCTGAAGAAACTCTTACAACAGAGAAAAGAAGGCAAGATTCAGGATTTATTCTACTTAAATGATTTCCCTAAGTATTTCCAGAAATAGAAGCTTATTGAAGTTTTTTTTTTTTTTCCAAGTCTACATAAACTACATATGAGCCAAGGGAATGAGAAAGCAAAAAACAAAACATAACCTCATGGAGAATAATAGTTTGTGTTCATGAAATGTTCTCCTTTCTCAGAGTACAGGGCACAGTGACTGGGAAGCATGGCAACAGCTAGAAGGATCACTTGTTTCAGGCAATAATGGACAAAAGAGCCCTTGTTGCTAGATGGATGCTAATCAATGTTTATTTGAATCCTGTCAAAAATATTATAATACCTGTTTTGGGTTCTCGCAGGAAAAAGATGAATGGCCGATCTGCCTTAAAAATAGGAATTCGAGACCTTTTCAGTAATAGCAAAGCTGCAGAAAAGAAAGAAAATTCTCATTTTACTTTCTATTTACTTGCAGCAAAATCATATAAAGTCAGTTGTATATCCCTTAGTTTTGAGGAAATTAAAGCATCCTAATGACACTTCATCGTTTACTGATATGATGGGGAGAGGTACAAATAGGATCATTGAAAAAGAAAAATAACAACCAAACCTCTCAACCATTTTCAAAATATACCGTGGAATGTATTCCTTTTGCAGGGCAATGTGCAGAACTACTATTCTTTGTGTGATGATCAAAATGGAATTCTCTTTCATCACTTTTCAAAAGAGTTTTTTTGCTTTTTTTAAAAATGCTGTGCCATCTCTGGACTTGGAGTTTTAAAAGGAATGGTTTAGAAGTGTCAAGATTCAACTGTCTAAGTTTAACAAAGGCAAATATGAGCAAGCAGTGTATTGGGAATTGCTTTCCCCTATGGAGAGCATACCTGTGGCTGCAGAGGCTTTGGTGCCTTCCTCTAAAACCGCAATCTTGGCCTTGTGGATCGCTTCAGAAACATAAAAGCCATCTTGGCCTACCTCCAGGAAATGATAAAAATGTGAATTGCTCATTTGCATTTTCTGGATGTTCTTGGTGAAAGCATTTGAATACATTGTAAGAACATATTAAATAATATTTGATGCTACTTACTGTGCAGCCAAAGAGATGAGATACTTGGAAAATTCTCATGTTGCAGTATTTTATGTAACTCAACTGAAATTTGTTAAATTTACCAAATTAAATTTACCAAATCTGCCCCCCAATTGATAGTCAAAGAATTTTCAGAAATTATTTCTACTTTATGCTATAAGCTGATATTTCTAAAACTTTAAGTAGTCATAAAAATCACAAGATTTGTGTTTAAAAAAAACGGCAAATTCTGTAACCAGGAATCATTTGCAGGAAGCTTCTAAGATAACTTTTTCTGAGTGTCTAAACTTCAGTTAAAAGAAGCTAAGTTAACTGTAAGGTGGAGAAAGGTCGACAGAGATTTTGGCTGTCCTGATTCATTCCCTCAGTTGTGTGCAAACAGGGGCCAGGCCAAAGTCAGGAGCCAGGGACCTTACAGGTCCTCAACATGGGCAGCATGAGTCCAAACACTAGGTTATTTTCTGCTTTCTAGGGGTACATCAGCAGGAAGTGGGATTGGAAGCAGGAGAGTTGAGTCTTCAACTAGCACTCTATAAGAGATGCTGGTGTCACAGACAGTGGCTTAACCCAAGACACTGTAACACTGACTCCTTTAGACTGCGTTAAAACTAGAATGACATACATGTATGTTTATATGTATGTATTTGTTTGAAAGGCAGTTACAGAGAGACACAGGGAGAGAGAGAATTTCACTTGCTGGTTCCCTCTCCAAATGGCCACAATAGCTAGGACCGGGCCAGGCTCAAGATGGAAGCCAGGAGATTAATCCTCATCTTCCATATGTATGTAGCAACCCGAGGAGTTGGGTCGTTTTCTGCTGCTTTCCCAGGCGTTTCAGCAGACAAGTAGGTCTGAAGTGGAGCAGTTGAGACTATGGCCTGCTAGGACTGCAGAGGGCAGCTTTACTTGCTGTTTCCACAATACCAGCCCCTAGACTGCATCTTGGGAATTTTTCAGTGACAAAGTCATAAGTGTGTATTACAGGTTTTAGAGGCATTCTATGTATTAAAAATGTCTGATGTTGCATGACTGCATTCTGTACTAAGGCCCAACAGTTATGCAGTGAACTTGCCTCATGAACTACAATTTGGGAAGAAATGGAGACGTTCAAACTGCAGTTGTTGTGTGTGCTAACAGTGTCAAAGATAACATAAGCGAGTGAGCATGAGTGTTATCTTAAAAGGGACTGACAAATTTGTAATATAACCAACATTTTAAGGAAGCCTCCACAGCTCAAATGATTCTCAATGACACGATAAAGAATGAAAGTAAGACTCTTGGGAACTAACTCGAAGGACTTTAGCGACTGTCCAGTTCAATCCTTTCATTTTCAGAGTGAGCCATTAAGTCATTTGAGACCACACACCTGACAGGAAGCAGTGTGCAGGTTTTGTTAACCAGCCCATTTCCCACCCACCCCTGCAACACTCCATCTAGCACTACCACCTTTCAGAGAGTGTTTTCTAGGTACTCTCATAATGCTCCCAGAAGGAGAGCCAGGGCTCGGGTATGAAAGTAACCATGTACATGTATTTTGAAAGAACTCTGTTTTGTCTTAGATTAATATTTAAGCAGGTTTTCATTTGTCATGTACATATAATGAATGTCATGAGAGAATAAAGCCAATTTAGAGAATGTGCAGCAAAGATACAGGGTTTTGTGAACTGCCTCTATTTTGAAAGGAATAATTATTTTCAAACATCAATGAAGAGAACAAGCAAGGGGCAATGGAAGGAGGAGAAAAACTCAAGGAACACTTCACTTTGAAGCATTTGTCCTAAAAATCAGTAGAGGGTCTGGTTGTTTCCACAGTTCATTCCAACCCCCAACCCTGCAGGATCTTTAAGAAAATAAACCAAATTCTCTTTCATGAAACAGTCTCTCTGACTAGGTCATTGAGCAAGCTGAAATGTAGTACAAAAATTTAAAACTTGATGGGTAAAACGTGATTTTTTGGTAGTCTTGAGTTTTTACAGCTTTGGAACGTAGTTACTCTCTAGTTGGTATCTGAACGTTAAATAAATGTTGGTGAAATGAGCAGAGGTTCTTCACTGTGAAAGTCCATCATAGCTGAGTGTATGTTAACCTAGGAACCTTGGCACAGAGTGAGAAATGGGACCGATTGGCATGGTGACGAGTAACATTTATGTTGGCACAGTGATCAGCCAAGCCCATGGCTTGTCATGTCCCTAGAATCAGCATCTCTTCAATGTCATCTCTGCTAAGAGTTGTCATTTTAGAAAACCAGCATGTGTATAAAAATTTGAAGGAGATGCTTGTGAATTTGTTTTTCCTTTGATCTATTATTACAGACCTCTGTTGGCCTTGCAGCTGTTGTAATATGAGGTAGCTATAAAATCCACCTAGAAGTTAAGGAAAAAGTGGTTTTCCTGGCCTTTTTCTCATCTGAAGTGGCAGTTGCTTGCACCATTGAACATCAGACTACCTGTTTTCTAAAAATTTGTTCTCAAAAAATCATTTAGAAATGCTATTCTGCAAAAAGGGTTGCATGAGTAGTTAAATGTGGTAGAGATGTGAGGCAAACAATATTGTGCTCATGTTTTTAATAGTGGACTTCTCAAAGCTGCTATTTAGCTTTCTGGTATATCTCCACAAGAGGGGTCACACATGTAGCATTTAACCATGAAGCAATCCTGGCCATCTTTTGGCTCCAAATGTTCTGGATTATCATTCTGAGCCTTTTGGAAACTAGTGCATCATGAACTCATTTGCTCCTATGTGACGTTTTAATGTCCCCAGCAGAGAGGTGCCTAGCTTCCTGCTCTCCTGGCCTATTCTGTATTCTTCATAGCACCCCCCAGAGGCATTTGCCTTCCGTTTTGACACATAGCTCCTAGTACATTGCCCAAGTACTTCTTCACCTAGCTGACAGTATATGTGTGTATGTATGCTCAGTAAATGTTGGATGACTCAATAATAGACATTTCCCACTCTGTCCATTTGTTTCTTTTCCCCCAAAAAAGTAACTTCCCTAATATTCTTTAACTTGATGATCCTTATAAGGAAGTGTTGGTTGGCATCTGGGGAACTATGAGGTTGCAGCAAACAGGTTTTCGGCAAGTCTCAATCAAATGAGTATCTCGGTGCCGCCTTTTCCCCTTGCTAGTGGAGAACATCCTTCATACCCTCCAGAGTATTTAGTCTTCAAAACCCGGCATTATGTAGATGAAGGAGTCTCAAAGCATAAGTCAGTACCTCTACATTTCGTTCTCAAGTTCTCATAAAACTAGATAAATACTATCATTTGTTGATTCTTTCATCTTTGCAATTTGCTAGTTGCAGTTACTGGCTTTAAACTTACTTCTAGTTTCTCATTCTCATCTCCTTGTCACTCAGTTGCTAAGAGTTGGAAGGTGTGTTTGTGTCACATAGCACCCAGGGCAGGATATAATAAGTGCTGGGAGGAATCTGGGATGGCCTTTGAAATTGGTTGGTTTCTAGTTGATTAATTAGTTTCTCCCCTAACCCATTCCTTCCTCTTTTCTGTAGTAGCTCTGGCTAGACAAATATTTGATGTGGCATTAGTTTACTTAGGTACTCAAATGAACAACTCAGTGGTTTGCTCATTTAAATTCATAGTAAGAGACAGCTTATTATTCTTGCTGAGCCAAGATTATAAACTGATTTTCCACTTATGAAAGCAAAGAACAAGATAGTTTCATCAGTGTTTGGAGTTGGGACACAAGAAGTATGGCTTGTACTATAGATGGCATAGATGTGTATTAAAACCCAGTGATCCTGAAGGAGGGGGACCCTTCTGCAGGAACAACTGCCTGGTACCTTCCATATGAAGAGATGCTGGAATGAACAGCATCAAGCCTAACCGGAGGTTTGGGGGACAGGAGGATGCACCCTGAGCCAATTGGATGTAAAATAAAACAAAATAAATAAGATATAAAATAAATTAAATTAAATAGTTATAATACTAAGAAGAAACAGAGTTTTCTAATAGGAAAGCAGAACTTGTTTAAATGATTCTGGAACCAAGTGGAAAGCAAGGGAGAAATGTCCCGTGTGGTTATGGGCTTTCATCAAGTGAGCAAACTACCTAGCCACTTCTTGTTAAAGAAAGAGAAGCCAGCATTTTTGTTTTTTATGACTTACTTTCTGGTCAGCATGTTGATTCTGCACTATCTGTTGCATTTTTGCAATTAAGATGTTGGGAGTCCCCATTTTAGCAATGAGGATACTTTGTCTCGTCAATATTCAGTGGCCTTGTCTCTAAAAATGAGTCATAAGCTCACTGGGGCATAGAAGTGGCCAAGTCTTTTAATTATGTTCAAAGAAGAGCACTGGAAAGCAATACTTCAGCTGGCAAATTTTCTGTAAAAGTTTGGATATTAAGTACTTTAGCCATTGCTTGGCATATGGTGTTTACCCCATCTACTCAATTCTGACATAGCAGGAAAGTAGATATATAAAAAGTTGCAGTGGCTATTTCAGTAAGACTCAGAAAAAAAAGTATTGGGCCATCATTTGATGCTTTAGAGATATAAAACTTCATGGGAGAAAGCCAGGAACTGGCATGTTTTGTCCTTAAGAAACACAAATGCAAGCTTCACATTCGGCCCATGGTAAGTGCTTGATAATTATTAAATAAGCCAGGTTTATGGGTCTGTGTTTTCACTGGTTTGAACAAATATAAGTAGACTTGGGTTGCATTAGGAAAAAAAGAGATTAGGTGTTTTAAAAAGGTACTTGTAAAACTAGGTTGTTTCTTAGATCCTACCTGGGGAGAGGGAGGTATCTTAGAAGTCATTCTAAATAATGGAGCTGTCTTTGAAAGCAGTCCTGTTTGAGAATGTATGATTGATGACATTTTAAGACTTATGTATTTCTAGGATATACAAGGAAAGAAATTTAAGA